AGTATTCTCCTGAAACATCTTTACAACTCTCGTATGCTCATATTATTAATGACAGCGTTATTAACTTGTTTTAATTAATCTTATGAATGATACTGATAAAAATTAAAATTTAAAAACCTAATTTGTATGATAGTATTGTAGTATAGTTGAAAGAATTGTAACAGTTTACAGGTCATTTAAAATTATTCTACTCAGTAGATTCACAAAGAGTTCAAAAAAAATTAAAGATTTTTTGTTGTGATGAATTTCTCCTATCATAAAGAAATGCAAATGGGTTTTTTCTTAATAGAAAGTAATATCTAGTATATATCATATATCTATAATATACTATAAATATATATTATCTACTATATAGATGTATATGGAAAGTAGTGGTTGTATATTGTAGCGGGAGACTCTATAGAACTAATTTATGAAACAATTGATTAATCAAATATTGTGAATGGATGGAGACTATATGATACTGATGGCCATAATGCCCTGAATTGTTCGAGAGCGAAGCTTCCCTCCCACAAGACAGGTGACATGGCATTCTCACCGTGCCTCTCGACTAGCCAATCTGTCGCGCGGCACTTGGATGTGACCGGAGCAGTCAACAAGGTGAGCGACTAATGGATTTCTCTTCATAATCGTCCATTCTATGTTACTGCGATGACAAAGTATTTGTGCCCTTGTCTCAACCCTTGTGTAAGTTTTGTATAGCATTTTGGAATTATGCTAAAGAAAGTGTGAAGGGTTTTGATATAGTTGCGCAAGTCATGGAATTGGAGGATCAATGAGTGAAGGTAGCCGCAGAGGTTCTCAGCAATCTGATCATTGGGGAGCAGTGTGTTGCTCTGGAATCTACCATCATGTGCACATGGTTTTTTTAATATTTTACAGTAGCGCGAGATCCTACCACGCATAAACCCAAACTTAGTGTTCGGGACCTATGACTCTTGTGTAGGTAGGCCAAATATCAAAGAATTACTGGCATAGAGGTGGAAGTAATGTAAGAGAGAAGGGTGCAGTTCCGCCACCATTGCAATTTAGACGGCCGCGTATAGGTTTATTCTCAGCCTGCTCAAACTGTAGAGGGAATTAGATTTCATATTACGTCTCACTTACAAGCACAAGTAATCGGTTTGAGAAGTATGATGGGTGCTCGCGCTGACCAACTTTGGGGATTGGGGCCTTTTGCAATGTTGTGGAACGGGGGGTTGTTGAAATGGGTTTTTGGAATGAACGAGACAGAGTCAAAATAACAACATATTGATGTCACATAAACACGAATGTGGTTGGTTAGTGCAAGCATAAGCATTATATACCATGCACTTGGCTTGTATGTTCTGCCAACCATGGTGAAAACACCACCTGAAGAGTTTGTCATCCCATTTTCTTGTGTGTGCATGTTTGTATTGCACTTTTTGACAAAATGGTTGTCGGCTGTGGTCTATCTGATAGGTCTAAGTCTGAAAACTTGGAAAGACTAGCTAGTCTGGAGAACCAGTGCTCGGAAGACAGCTCGAAGGGAGTGCAAATGTTGTGAGGTCTGACATCGTGCACCTTATTAATAAGGAGTATCTCGCGATAGGAATGTGCATTAGAAACCTTGACAAAAGAAAAGTGAAACCCCTTCAGGAAATTTAAGTGGATGAGTCCAAAAATTTAAGCACTCTATTAGAACAACAATTGGCTGAACATCCAGAGATCAATCGGATTCAGCGAGGGCGTGCTCAGTGGTGGGAGTGTGTGGCAACCTTTTGTACGTGATCGAAATGCTCCATCTGCTGCCATTCACCACCACAAAATTCCGCCCTCCCACAAAAAGCGTCTGATGCCCACTTCTTTAACCACTGCCAATTCACTGCCGGGTGGCGAAGACATCTGCCAGAGGGTGGCGTAATGGCCGGCATCTGAAGCGTGAAATGAGACGAAGCAGTTTGTGACCTTCTCGTGGGGAGGTGGAGTCTGGGTACAGAAGCATATACGGCCATGAACAAAGGTCATAGATGCTACTGACACATGTGAGCGCAAGATAAAATTGAGGTCATACCAACTCATCAGGAGCAGAAAGACAACTGGTGGAGCAATGAGCTTGGAAGTGGGTGGGGAAATAGAATAACTGGTATTAGAGTTGTGGACTTGAAAGGTTCTTACAACTATTCCCGGGCAGGGATTTTATAAAAAGTATAAAAGCAAAATGCTTGAGTTGTGAACCATATAGGTTCAAAATTGACATCTGTACTGTGTAACGGTGTGCCCATATCTTTGGAGGGGGTATCACACATTTGTTGTGGGAGAAATGATACCTATACGTATGCATGTACTTAGTATGTTGCCACCTGTGGTCCCCTTGGTGATTTGATAGTGGGCAAACAGTTGGTAGGACCGATGCTAATAATCTATACACTATAGTGGAGCTTTCAGAAGATTGGGTCCGATACCCATGGTAAACTTCGACGTTCGTGTGAACCAGGAACTCAGGTCAAGAAGCGAGCAATGAAGTTGAGTTAATGGGATTTTGTGGGCCTCATTGACTACTGAGTCAACTATTGTTATTAGGACTAACCACGGGATGAAGGCGCTCCCTGTTTGAAATATTGGCACCTAGAACTATATGCTGCATGAAGTATGTATGATTGGGACATTAGTACGTTGAGTCGTATTGTAACATGGGGGGCATCACCTAGTTATATGTATTTCAGGGAAGCTGCGAGGGAAAATGGGGCACACTACTGTTTCTGCAAAAAGTTTTTGATTTATGGTATTTTTCTCACATACACTTCGATTTCAGTCTCCAGTCATTGTATAATGCCGTTTGTTTAACTGCCGGTACTTTGACATTTTTAGCAGGTTAAATAATCCCATCTTTGTGACTGGGGGGATTGGGGGTGTGCACCGTCATTGGGAACATAGTATGTTAACCTCCTATATCTCACTAATAAAAAAAAATTGATTTTTTCATGATGGATGCGGACAAACCTTGCCTGTAAGAGATACATTTTGGTTTAAAATTGAGACCAAAATAAATCAACCTGTTCGTGTTGTACAAGTTGTTATGTCCTTTAGGGTCTTTGAAAGTCCTGCCACTTGCAACTTAAACAATGAATAGGGAGAGCGATGACATTTGATCAAGTTTTCCGTTTGAAGTAAAATTCTTGTCATGTTTCATTATGACCAAAAACACTTGTCTTTGTAAGATATTTTCTGCTAATTAAAGTTCGAAGTTTCTCCTTGGCTAAATATACCGAAGGACTCTATATTTGATTGGTATTTTTTTAGGCTTAAAGTGGAAATGTTTGTGTAATTCAATCTGCAAAACTTCAGTTCTTTTTTGATGGAACTGTTTAGTCACATCCTGAAAAAAAAATTCTGTGCAGTCTAAAAACACAAGAGATGGTTTTTTTCTTTTTCAATTTTTATATTATTGTAGTTTCTGCAAAGACAGTCGGAGATATTTATTGAGCATTATTATTTTTTATATTTTTGGCCAGGTATGGACATATCTTCTGATCTCGTTGAGCTAGGCAGAACACCAGTAGCAGTTGTATGTGCTGGTGTAAAATCAATATTAGATATTCCCAGACGCTTGAATATCTGGTACCCATTTACTTTTGTGTTAATATTACTGAAGCAGTAATCAGTTGTAGCTTATTATTATTATTATGATTATGATTATTATTATTTTTATCTTGAATAGGAAACACAAGGAGTTTGTGTTGCTGCATACAAGACCAATGAGTTTCCTGCATTTTTTACGGAAACAAGTGGCTGCAAGGTATATTAAATCAGATTCTCGTATGGCTTTCAATATTAAACATGTCCATGAATAGCATAATTAAGTGCTTAATGTAGTGTTTGACCACATTTTCTTCATGGAAAGATTTACAGGAATGTGTGTTATGAGCACACACATTATTCTGTATTTGTAAGGAATAAAATGAAACAAAAGATATTTAAAACTTATTCTCTAAAATTAAACCTATACAATATTTCTCTATTTCCTTATTCACACAATCATGCATCCATTTGGGATCGTGCCTTTAACAACAATTTAAGTAGATTACGAATCTCATCCTCCTTGCTCCATCCCTCTCAACCTTTTTTTATCAAATCTCCAACTTCTTTTTGAAGGTGTTTGGCTCTGCCTGATACCCCTTAAAGGTGTTTGGTTATGCATATGATGTCTTTTATGTTATTTTAATAATTGGTTGTGAATATGTCCCAATATATTTCAAGTCATGATTTTTTAAATAAGCCTTCTGATTTGTGATTTAATTGGTGTTTCACAACCATGTTTTCACCATTATTATCATACCGTTTTATTTGTTAATTGGAATGTAAGTATAGTATATAATGTACTAGGACTGAATATACGGGACCAATATAGTATTGGGTCATTGCAAAATTTCAGGGTGTCAGTCGGGTTAGACAGCCCCGGAAGACTGGGCGCATTAATAGGCCAGGGGAAAGGCCTTCTTTTTTTTTTGTTGCCCGTTTGTATTTTCTCCATGATTTATATTCTTCTGGCAGATGCAAGCTTCAAACTCAAGCTAGGAACTGGAATTTTGATAGCAGTTCCTATTCCTCAAGAACACTCAGCTTCTGGACACATAATTGAATCTGCCATTCATAAAGCCATTAAAGAAGCCAGGTAACTGTCTTTGTTCTCTCTTCTACATTCATTATGGCTTAATATGGAAGATATACATCAATGGTTCCTAATTTTTTATTTCATACATTAATATTGATTTTTCTATAAAATTTAATTTAATATATTTACTTGTAGGGAAAACAATATAACAGGGAGTGCTGAGACTCCTTTCTTGCTCGCTAAAGTAAATGACCTGACTGGAGGTGCCTCACTTGCTGCAAGTATCCATTTTTAAAGTTTTCTCAGCATATACATTAGTATAAAATTCATATAACTAAAAGTGGACTTTAAGTGGAAATTTATCTAGAATATGATTTCAAACGTGATAGTTAATAGAGTTATGAAGACCAGTTCAAACTTTGAAGGACCAAAAATTTATAATTAATCTCCATATTGTCAAGTGTAAAGTGAGCTAACAAACCATTTTAGACATTTCTTGTGAGAATAATGCTCTTGTGAGAGTCTAAGTTGCAGTAGCCTTGCCGAGAAAAGAAAAAGGTGAAGGTGACTTATACTTCCATGAAGATCTGTTGGCCAATTCATGTAATATGCGGAATGTTTAAAACCGTCAATGCAAATTTATCAATGTAATCACAAAAATTCTTCAGTTCAAAGGTTAGCTCTCTGTCTTCTCTCGCTATTAGATTTCTTTTAACTAGCAAAATAATATTGAAGGAAAGTATTAAATTACATTCCACTTAGAGTATGAGTCAGAGGATATGAGAGCACCACACTTGCGGAACTGGCCTTTAAGGTGTTGAAGCAGATCAGAGCGAGGGAGGGACATGATGATGTGCCTGTCCAACAGCCCAACAAGTTGAAACCGACATCCCGCCATCTGCGAACAACTTAACATGCGTAGGTCATCCTCTCTAGACCGCGTGAAACACACAACATCTCGTCGCACTTCATGAGCTGACTGGCTTGTTAATTTTCATTCTTTAGAGCGTTCGTCGATCAAACACATTGGAAGTAGGCAATGTCGCCTTTGACCACCGACACTCATAGGTGTCACACTACATTCTGACTTAGAGCAAGGTAGTAGGATACATGGAGTGTTAGTTAGGTGGTGTTGGTATGAACAACCATTCAAGAGTTTATTACTATTTGGATTATAATTAAAGAGGCACTCAACCTTCTAACAGAATTAAAAAAAGTCTAAGTGTGAGCAACAAAATAAAACTCTGGGAATTTATGAGAAAGTGGAGAGTAATATCTGAGAATATCTAATGAAGCTTTTCATTTTCTTATCTGGTGAATTAAGCGACGAGACATTACATCTAGTGTTTGTTGTACAGTAGGTGAAAACTGTTACCACAGCTAACTGACTCCAGAAAAGCTATTCCCACTAAACTTGAACAACAAACTAAGGCGTCAGAAAATAACTCAATCTGTATATGAAATGTTTGGCCCAGCTCCTGACCTGCAAGAAAAAATTTGTAGCTGACAGACCAATGGAAGCGCAGGGCCAGATAACAAAAACCCGACAAACTGAGCAAACGTAATAGTGTTAAGCCACTGTTTATGGCTAGAACAAATTTGTTTGGCCAGGATAATAGAACAAACTACCTGAAGCGTGAGAAGTGATTTCATGCAATTTGTTTTGCAGTCGTGGAAATTTGCAAACTTGATTGTGCTATATGTAATAGTAGGATTCAGGAAGAATAAAAAATGTCAGAACAGAATAGAATGTTCAGTTGGTTAATTTTTTGCAAGGAGGCGGCTACCCTTACTTCACTTTTTTTTAATTTAAATATAAATCTGCTTTTGATTTGAATTTAAATATATCAATATATTAATTAACTATTTAAAATGTTAAAATCATGTTTTATTATCGGACCTAAATATTTTATACTTAAAAAATCATGTTAAAGTTACATCATCAACATTATTTTACTAATTTATAATATAAAAAATCATGTTCCAATCTTAACATATCAAAAATAAATTTTCAATATGTTTTTTGAAAACTATTTAAGAGAGAAAGTAGTCTTTTAGGTATATAAAAAAAAGAAAGAAAAGGAAGTGAGAAAATATCAAAATGACAAGAATGAAACATTCATGAAGAAGGTTGAGTTCTGTTGCTAAGCTTCATCAACTATCGTATGGTGTTTGTGGGTAGCTTCAATCATGCTGTTTCTTTCTCTTCGTCCTCGTTTTTCTCCAAATTCAGATTCCTATTTTCAAATTCACATTTCCTCTTCACTGCTCCCACCTTCCAACAACAGTCACAATCACCAGCCCCCTTCTCAAGTTCCCATCAAAGCCCCCACTCCTCCATGGATGAAGGGTCCTCTTCTTCTCCAACCCAACGAGCTCGTTGACATGTCCAAACCCAAATCCAAGAAGTTCAAGTGGGAAAGACAAGAACTTTCTGATAAAGATTTGATGGGCAAAGAGGCAAGGGGGAAGAGGGCCATGAAGAAAATTGTGAAGAAGGTTGAGAAGCTTCGCAGCAGTCACAATTCAGCTGAGGCTCTGATTGGTTCACCCAATGTTGAAAGCTTAGGAGGAGTTTTGGGAAGTTTGAAGGAAAATGAGGAAGTTAGAAGAACTAAGGGGAGAATGCCATGGGAGAATGATGCTAAGTTTGTTTACGAGAAAATTAAAAGGAAAAAGGCTGCCACTTCTGCAGAGTTGGCTCTTGATAAGGTACTACTTCAAAGGTTGAGGAATGAAGCTGCAAGCATGAGAACGTGGGTCAAGGTTAAGAAAGCTGGTGTTACCCAAGATGTTGTGGATCAAATTAAATCGACTTGGAGGAGACGTGAGCTTGCCATGGTTAAATTTGATATCCCTATATACAGGAATATGAGTATAACTGGAGAAATTGTTGAGGTTTTGGTTTGCTCATATCCCACTAGTAGACTTTTGTTGAACTCTTTGCCATCATTATATTACTGAAGGCATGGATTATTAAGTTATACTTTTAGTGTATTGTACCTGTGCATGACTGAAAGATAGATTGTGTAAGGCCTTGTTGTGCTCTGTGTATAGTTATTTTTTTCCTGCTGACAATCTATTTGTATTTGTTGAGGCAATTCATACTTTGTGCAGTGTGTCTTTGCTGGTTAAGCTATTTGTTTTGGTTTGATGGGATTTACATAAGGACTCAAATTTACAAGTATGTTTATAGGTGTTCAATATTGAAAGTTGATATAATCTGGTTCGACTCTGACTAATATAATATCGAGTGTCTTGTTACAGCTATATAATGCAGACATGCTGCTATGTATGAATTAATTTTGGCAATGATCTAATATTAGTCAAACTGTTCTGATATGTAGATAATTATTTCTGCTTTGTTTTATACATGTTTCATGTTATCCTTCCATGTTATTTTATGACTTCATTAATTATCATTTCCCATTTGAATAGACAAAGACTGGAGGCTTAGTTGTTTTGAGCAAGAAGGATTTTGTTGTGGTTTACCGAGGATGCAATCATCAGTTGACAACTAAAGGTTATCCCAATCTAA